AAAGAATATATATATATATATAAACCACTTCCTTAGATTCAGTATGGTCAGATTGGAAAGAATCAAGTGTGCAAGAAACCATTCCCATAGGAAATACCATTAAAAATATCATAGCAACGGATGGTGAATATAGTCTCTATTTTCTCCTTTATGAAGGAAGCTTACTTGCCCAATATCGTGTTATTCTCAACTGCTAAAATATTTAGGTTCCATATGCAAAATGAACATTATGTTATTGCTTATGTGCATATTGCTGCTACTGCGTTATGCTCCCCATAAAAACCATATGCTGAGCTTTGCCACACTTAAGGCATATTTAATACCAGACACTCACTGGAAATTGTTTGCAAGCAGTATTAAGATTGGAATGCATCGCTGCCAAACAGCAGGTTTAACAGAACAGTTCTAATGCTTTGAGACTAGCACTTTGCCAGTATCTCCTGAATTATTTGCATGTCTTCTGTATGCTGCATCTGGATTTTTAAAACTTGCTGCCATGAGGAGCTACATAGAATAGCATTAAAGATACCCTGTTGCCAAAGCTTCCTCGCTAACAACTAAACATCCTGAATTTTTGTTGTGCTTTTCCAATGACTAAATGCTGTTTCAGTCTGAGGAATACAAGTCTTACAACTCTGAACATGTGTACAATAAGAATACTGAGGATATGAATTACAACAGAAACTGCTCATCAGAAAATCAAATCTCTTCAACTGCTTGTCCTTGTCTGAAGGTATTACTACCATCTGAGAAATAGAAGACAGTACAATTTATACTTCTATTACTCCTTTCAGCTGAGAGTATCACTGTAGAAATTAAACATGAACTGAGCACTATAAATCCCTCTGAGGAGAGTAGATATTAATAATGATACTGAACAAAAATACAGGAAAAATAATACCCTTTTGTTAGAATATAAAACACTTAACAAATTTCAGTGAATTAACCAAGATCAAACAGAAGGTCATTGTGCACAGCTAGAAATAGCTTCCAGAGTTTTGCTCTAAGCATTAGAACAAATTTCCTCAGAACACTTCTTAGAGAACAATTTCTGTAGGGTATATGCACAGGAGAATGTCCGATTAACTGAAACTTTGCACGCCACTGAAAACTGAGAACCTTCAGGCTTTGAATCCTTTCAAAAAGAAGTAGGTACAGGGGTAGAAGTATAATGAAGACATTAATAGTATTCTCTTTGTTCATTGAGCTGAATTTCCCTTTGATTCTTCCTTCATGGACTACCATTTTTATATTTCCTCCCCTAATAAAAAATACACCTAAGAACATTTTGGTACTCAGCTTGGATTTCTCCTCAAATTTCTGTTATTTTCAGAGCCACCAGTGTGAAATGCTCAGATCTTCCCAAACAAAAGAATTTGAAGTCTTACTAGAATAATGAATAGATTTGTCCTTTTTTTACTGTTCTGCCAGGCAGAGAATGCTGTTCTGTAGAATGACTGCTACTGATGTCCATAGTGTACATTCAGTGAAATAGCCTAAAGAAAGCTTTCACAAGAACATATATTAATTGAATGAATTATTCTGTATGGTTTGATGATTTGCCTCACTAATGCATTTAATGAAGGTACCCTGATTATTATACGAATCATGGCATTATCTCAGACTGGTTTATCTCTCCAGGCTATATTTGGATGTAGAATGACCTTGTCCTTGTGAGAGGAGGGACTTCCTGCACTGACACTGAGAAACTTTCCATTGCTTTTAGGCAACACCTGCATCTTCATGATTAAAAATGACCATACTGTATTACAAATCTTAGTTATTGAGGTTTTGGTATATTACTTCTTCTGAAATGGTCTTGACAGTCTTGGTAGACCACAAATCAAACTTGAGCCACCAGCAGGCCCCACAGGAGAGAAGGCCTAGGCTGGTTTAACTGAAGTGCAGCAGATAGGTGAAGGAAGTGATTATTTCCTTTTGCCTGGTACTCATTACAACACATCTAGATTGCTGCATCCAGTTTTGGGCTCTCCAAAACAAGCCAAAGGTAAAAATATAGATGTCATTCCTCTGCATTATTTCTCTATATATCTAGAATTATTTCCCGAGAGACTTTTCTGCAGTTCTTAATGCTAATGTTTCTAAATTCTTCCTTAATAATAATCTTTGTGACACTTTTGGGAGATGAAGACGGATTTATTGTGATATTTTGCAGCCCAGAAACAGAACTGCAAACCATTTATATCAAAATTTTCCACAGAATTAGTATCTCCATTTCATAACAATAAATAGCTGTTTTCTTCAATTTGTGTAAATATGTAACGGTACAATACATTATTGCAGCTGTAAGTGCTCAGCATTTCAGAAAATTATCGGAATATCAGGCAAAAAAAAAGATATTAAGAAACATTCATGTAATAACCAATTATTATGACTTACCACATGTGAACTCCTTTGCATAAGCAGGAAGACCTGCAGCATTTAGCTGATTTACCCTTGAAAAAATTATTGCTCTCTTTCTGCATTTTATGACACATTCACAATTTCCATAACAACTGAGACAGAAGACCTAAAGAAAGTAGCCTCATCCATTGTATAATCCTAATTCACCTAACTTTTTAAAGGTTGACTTTGAAACCTGAATATTGGCATTTCAGTGCTTTTATGTATGTAAATTTCCTGTCTAGGAAAATAATCCTGTTTACAAGCAGAAACTCCGTCATGTGATATTGTAACAGGATTAATCAAGAGAATTAGAAACTTTAGATCCACCACATAATCCTCTCCAATTCGAGCCAAGACTTAAATCTCAGAACTGGAAGACGGTTGGGCAAGGGGAACACTGTATCATAGTTATATGATATAGTGCTTAAATATCATATAATATAATATAATATCATATCATATCATATCATGCTTAAATAGTGTAACAATGCTGGAGTATTTGTTTAGTAATTACTTTCAATTTTGAGTATTAAAAATACTCAGTTCTGTAAGGAACTTCTGTAAGGAGGTATGTTAATTGTAATTACTGTGTAATTAACGATGTATAATGTACCACCCTAGTATAGATGTGTGTGCATAAATACCTATGCAAAACTGTTTCACATTTATTCTTCACAGACAGGTTTCATCTGTTTTGCTAGAGCAGTTGGAGTTGCTGGTAGTCAGCTGTCATAAGGGGAGTAAAAAATTCCCCATTAAGAAGCAGGAGACTAAGAATGACAGAATATTTGACACTAAAATCATATTATACTAATTGGGTAAATAAATAATAAGTTTGATCAGAGTATACTTAAAATTATGCTTACATAATTATTGAAATCTCTTGCATTAAAATCTTAAAAGTCAGTGCGCATCATTAACAACCGCATGCCATCTAGTGGACATCAGATAAGTTTCCTCCCTGTTTGGGATTTCCCAGGTACTCGCTATTTTCATTTGCAAAATACAAGTAGATAAGGAGATGTGGATCTGCAGTTGAATGATCAATGTTCAGATGCCAAAACAGTACTTAAATACTTCTCAAGTCTCTTATGGAATTAAAATATTTTATGACAACCCTCTGGGCAAAGGTAAACTTACCCTTAATATACTTCTAATTTCAGGAAAAAGGAAACTGCACATGAATATCACTCTGCTGTTACCTCTTTCCTCTGTCGAACTTGTGTTAGGAAAGCCTCTTACTCTATGCATTTTTATTAATAATCTATATATAAGAAAATTAGCGTGTCCAAGTGAAGCTTCCCCAGCTTTCATTTTTGTCTCTGAAAACTGCAAAAAATCATACTAATTAATAAAACATTCATTTACATTTGAGCTATTAATAGTAGAAACATTGCATCACAGTTTTTCATAATGCCATGTGTAATGATTCCTAATCTAATTCTTACATCTAGTAATTATCATATAAATGTCAGTATTTTAATGTAAATGTTACGGATGACAGTGTGAGGTTTTTAACATTTGCCAACTAATCAAAATAATAGTTTTTAATGCTCTGAGTTTGTGGTTTCCTTGACAGTAATGCTCCTTTTATTTATATTCACACCAAAAAAAAATGTAAAAAAGTATGATTATTGGTCTTAGCAGTTTTTAACTAGCTGCTCAACTGAAGGAGAGCTTGAGGATTATACCGTATAAAAGCATTAATAAAAAACATTTTAATGTGAACTATAATCATCCATGCTGTAAGATTTTTTTATTATTATCTCATGCATTTAGTCTGAATAGATGACAATGCACTGTAGTAATGTCTGTTTATAGCTGGTCTAAAGTGAGAATCAAACCCTGTTCCATGAAATCAGTGATACAGAATTGAACTACACTGGCCAAGTGGCTGGGGAAGGAATTGACATTTGAGGAAGGAGCAAGAATATTAGCAATGCACAGAGCAATGTCAGGCTTACAGCTGCCTTTTGTCATGCTACTATTCAGCACCTCAGGTCAGTGTAGCCAAGAATATAGTATACTATGCTACTAATATGTTACACAAGTAAAACAGTACAGACTTTAATAATTGAGTTAAACCTGTTGTGATACACTTTTGGAACCATTCCAGTGTCTTCTAATTTCACTGCCAATTTTCAAAGAGCTTCACTCTATAAAGTAACCTTTGCTCTAAAAAAAACCACCTACAACTATGAACTCTTGAATCAAAAGCTATATGTGTGAACAGACTGTGCAATAAAAGAAATGATTGAGATACACTGAACTGCCTATGAACTATAATGTAACAATAAATGAGTCTAAATATTGGCAATTCTGTTATTTCCTAGGTAGCAGATGAAGAAGCATTAGCTAATAATGACTCACGGTGATTGCAGAAAAAACGCAATAAATATTAGATTAAGATTAAAAATACCTGGGATATGTTTGGTTTTAGAGTAAGTTGACAAAGCAATTGCTGAAATTAGAAATTAAAGAGTTAAGGTTATTTAAGAAACTCCTTTATTATTATCTATTTCCAAACAAAACAAAACTGCCACTCATAGTCCCTAGAACTTTCCATATACTTTTCTTAAGCTCAAATTGAATGACAATTATAATTAGGTATTTTTAAAATATTGCATTAAATTTAAGAAACATTAATTTATTTAAGCTAAGTCATTCAAGGTCTTCTGAAATTCTAACAAAGTACCAGTTAGGTTTGCAAATGTAGATGTAATCAGATCAGTAGGAATCCATCTGTAAGTTTATCCATCACGATTCAGACCAAAGATTCAGAATCCCTATGAAACCTGCAACATGTTGAAGAATCATAGAACAGGTCAGTCTTGTGCATTTGTAGACAAACTTAGAAAGAAAAAGTATTGTTTTATTCTTTATGCTTATTTTATAGTGCCTTCAAAGCATGCCACCCCAAAATAAAGAGCTTCTACTTTGCAACAGACTGCCTTGAAGAAATGAATAGGTAAGTTATGTTTCCTCTTTATCTTGTTATATGTTTATTATCATGCTACTCCAATAACTGAAAACAGTATTTCATCTCACATAGAAATACACTCTTGGAGCATGATGTAATCTGATTGATAGTCTACTTAGTCCACTTAGTCCTCCATTCATTTTAGTACATACACTACATTGTGTGGCTCACTTTACTGGAATTCTCTGTCATGCCGCATGACACAATTCTGTAAAGGTGTGTTAGGAAAGTTAGTTGTGCACCTACGTTCATTAGAATTTTGGCTTGCTAATGGGCATAAAGTTTATAACATTTTTATTTTTTTGTTGTTCAAAGCTAGAAATACTAATATTTCTCATATATAAAATATGCATATGTACCAAAGCTCATACTTTGAGTATGTGAGTATACATGTGAGCATACTCACATGATGGGGTAAGATATTTTAGTTAGCTCTGTTGTCAATCCACAGTAAAGTGACACGACCAAAAAAAAAGAGAAAAGCCATTTTTAACAGGGGTGGGATTAAACTAATGAGATTAATTTATTTTTCATGCGAGAATTTAAAAACAGAAACAAAAACAAACACTCCTCCCCCAAGAAAGAACCGCAACAGTAACAAAAAAACCCAGTAGCGATTAGTTATATTCATTGCATCATTGTTCCAACAAGGACCAGAGGCTAGCAAAGTTTAGTCGTTGGCATTGTCCTGTGTTTTTAAGTGTCCTTGGATGTCTGGGAGGGCATTTAAAGCTTGTCTGGACAAGGCCCTGAACAACCTGACCCAACATTAAAGCTGGCCCTGCTGTGGGTGGGCTGTGGGAACAGACGGCCTCCTGAGATCTCTTCTAACCTAAATTACTCTGTGCTCCTATTTTGTGATTCAGTGGTGAAGGCAAAGGTTAGATAAAGGTGAGACGGTACCTTTGATCCTCAAAGGCAGAGTCAAATGTTCTACCTCCTCCTGTTACTTGGGTGATCTGTTTATTCCCAGCTGAGGTACAAAGCAAGGACACATGGGACAATGTTCCAGTACTTTGAAGTCTTAAATCTCTCAAGGCGTAGACTGCAGAAACTTTGAGATTTAGTTAATTCTTTCTGTTCATAGACTTAGAAAGACACAACTACCACAAGACAGAGCTGGACTTTTTTCTTTGGAATACTAATGTCTAAAAATTATTTTTAAATTGAACATTTGTATTCTGTGGCTGTATTGATGCATAAGACTGGCTGTATTGAAACATTTCAGGCCAGTCCATCATCCACTGATGATGACGAGGTTCAGCTCTCAGGAGCATCTGACTCTGGCCAGCTGTCATTTTTAGGATATAAATTTGCTGCAAATATTTTTTCCAATGTTAATAATGTTCTGTTGTTCAGTTTAGTACTGTAGCTAATGAGACATGAGGATGTTTTACTATTTTTAACTATGCATGGTCTCTCCCTTGATTTTATCTACTTTGATAACTATGATTTGTTGAAGTGCCATTGATCATATCTTTCTACCATACTATAAAACGTTCTGACTCAAGGAAAATCCGGAAGTCTTGACATACATTCAATAAACTGCTTTTACAATATGCATTGATTTTTCTACACCGAGGAGCCAATGAAGTCGCCTTTATGTCAGTTTACAGCCTTCATAGGGAGAAACAGTTGGAAAGGTGCCAGGTTGTATTTTCATATCATACTGCCACGTTAGGTTGGAACTGATGAGGGCTTTTTTCATGGCTTTTTGGGTCTGCTTCTCATGGGAGAAGACAAAGGGTGAAATTCCTCTTGAAGAATATTTTTGCAGTATTTTCCATTCAGAAATGCCGTTCCTGTAGAATAATTGTCATTCACTCCCCAACCTAAATGATGGATTACTATGCTAGTTCTGTAAAAGCCCTGGGCATCCCCTGCAGCGTTTTCATGCTCCCTGGAATTCCTTCTCCCAGATATCCTGTGTGAAATTTGAAATGAGTAAGGAAGATTCATAGATGAAAAATGCACTTAAAATACTAATTTCACAACTCTCTGTCTTCCCAGCATATTGCTAACCGTGGAATCTGAGGAAATAGGGCAAATACTCTACATGGTGTCACACACTCCTACTGTCGCTACGAAATTTAACTGGATTTTCTATGCTGACATAAGGGTAGATCTTTCATGCTGAAAAGTAAAGATATTCTAATATGGAGAGGAAGATAGCATTGCTATATTCACTATGTAGGGGATGTATACCCTTTCTTCAACTGCACTTACCACCAGCTTTTGTTTTAACAGCTGTTTTTACAGTTTCTTTCTTCAGAGTCAGTGTTTAATATTTTTTTCCACTCTAGAATATTCAAATCTGCCTTTAATACTGCATTACTGTAGAAAGAATTGTACACCAATGGGTAGTAATTGATTTGTATGTAGCAGATACAGTTATTCTGTTGAAGCTGAATTTTCCTGCTGTGTTGCATGGTGCAGACAGACTTCGGTTTGCAAAATTAATGCTCATGCTGTTTTGTCAGGTCTTACATGAGCATAGTTGTGTTCCTAGAAATGAATTAATAATGAAATTGATGATCTCATCTTTCGCTTGCCACAGTCACGGGGTACTCCAAGCTTGTTAAAGGCCTTATTTCCCAGAAGTGCTTCATCTATTACCATACCATGCATAACCTGTTTATGGCTTTAATACTCCTAAAGAAATTAGCATTGAATTTAATATTCAGTTGTTTTACAGTATCTACTTTATTTAAAACTTTCATGTGATTGAAGTGTGCAGTGCATTTACAATCTCCTCATGGACACCAAATATTAAATTAAAAAAAAGTTCCTGTTTTAGGCTGAATAATTTCATCACATTTGATTTTAATAACTGGGTTAACTTTGCAATTTTAATAACTCCCATAAATCTTTTGCATTCATTCAAAAAATGTATCAAATATCTGCTATCAACTGAAACAGAATGATGATAGATTTTTTAGGGGTCACTTCCAATGTTATCCCAAGTAAAGACCTGAAAGATTCTAACACAATTTTACTTTTAAAATGAAACTGTTTGAAAACACCAAAGAAAAGGTCTTGGCAACTAAAATTTTCAGACATACGCCCCTATTAGAAATTGCCCCTCTTCCTGGAGAAGTAGAGCAGGAGAGTAATTATGTCAGATCTGTCTGGCCTAATTTAACACTTCTTTAACAAACAGACCAAGTAGGTTATTAAGAGCTCTTACTCCCTTATCCGATGAAGAGCAAGGAGGTAATTCTGCAGAATATGAAAGGAACTTTTCAAATAGAAATTCCTGAAATGGAGATTCCCAATGGTGTTGTAAGTAACCACAAATAGCAGGTTTTCCCCTTCTTCCTTTATGTCCCTATAAACTTGTTACAAATCCAGGAAAAATAGTCTGTGCCCGAGGCCACTTCAGTCCTCTAATTTATTGTTCTCACATAAAAGCTCACAAGTTGCAGCACAAGTGAAACAATTTTCTGATCACAGTTAGCTGGAGGCCCCAAAGACTGGGTGAAGCCATGATGTGTGTGGGAGTGAGCAGTGCAGTGGTAGAGTTAGAGTGCCCTGTCTGGGGAAAATGTTGCACCAGGAAGTACCAGTACAGAGCTGTAAGTCTTGAAAATCTCCTTTTCTTGGCTAACCACCTAACTCCTCCTTTCTACAATTTATGGACTACTTACTAAAGACTTGTAAACTACCATTTCCCCCCACTGGCTTATAGCATTACACTAGAGGAGTTCAAAGTACTTTACAATACACAATTGCAATTATCCAATACACAATTCAAATTAGCATTCAGATGTGAATTTATCCCTAATGCGCAGAAGTTAGGATTTGCATTGGCTTTCTGTACTAGTTTAAAATACAAAATTAACTTAATAAAATTCTGCTGTAAATAATACCATTGTGAATTGGTATAGTTCTTCTGGGAATCAGAGTTCAACTGCATTTAATATAGAAGATTTTGTGATTGCAGAGCTGTTCCTCTCCGTGATGAATGAACATGCATTGCGGTCACATATTGTGATGTCGTACTGGAGATACTAAGTTAACACTGCAAAATCTGACATTTTTTGTAATAGAAATAAATAATATACATAAGTAAGTTGGGCTTTTGACAGTATGGTTTGGCCTATTTGATCTGATTCTGTTAAGAGTATGTGGAAATAGAATTACATAATTTCATAAGTAAATGATCCCATCTCTTAAAAAAATAATTCCCCCCTAAAACCCAAAAAACCCCACCCATACCTTTTCAGGCCATACTAAACTCAGCTCTTTTACTCATAGATAATGTTTCACTTCTCCAAAGCTTTCTTTTGGGCCAATCATTGGGTGAAAGCTAGGGTAGGAGCTTGAATAACTGAGTAAAATTACAGCATGCATTAAATGTTAAGAAATCCTGACTTGGATTCGCTTTTACAGCTTTTCATCCCTTCCCTGTACTTCAATAAGAATGGTAAAAAGACTGTCTGGAGGATACTGCGTGGTTGCACATGCTCAAGCATATATGTCACCATCAGCATAGGAAGCAGTAGGTGCAAGCAGCAGCTAGTACTTGCCTTTAAGTGGATGCCCAGAAAGTTTGGTGAATTATCCAGTGATATGGTAAATCCAATAGGAAAAAGTTACAGTAGGGCGAAATGCAGTAGCCACATTTGACTAACGAAGAAAAAATCTTAATTCCCATTAAGTGCAGGAAGTAGATGCACGTGCAAAGAGGGCATAAATTGTGACGGTTCACTTGTCAACTCTTAAGCTCTCTGGGGCTTTTTTTCATATTTTTCCAGGCTGACAAATCCAAGAAGACAATGCATGAAACAAGATCAACAGTCATGTCAAATTATCAAATCAGAGAGTACTTGCTGTTTACCCCATGAATGATTTTACTTAACAAATTCCAGTAACTGTGACAAATAAAATAGTACAAATACAGGCTGCTGAGAGCTGATATATTTGGAGAGAGGAACTCATTGAGAAGACTCTGCTCAGTGTTATATTTCACTGTGAGACATCAAGTA